GGCAGCAGCACGAAATGGGAGGAGTTGCAGCGGGGCGCACACAAACACACAGGCAACATATGTGAGCATGTGAGGGGAATAACAGCACAGGGGAAGTCCCCCGCGGTCGCAGTTTCTCCAAGGCCAGATCAAGGGCAGGGGAGGGCATTTGCCCGCACCCCCCCCCCCAAAGGGCAGGGGAGGGGCGCGGGGGAAGGGCAAGCAGCGGGACACCGGCCGGGACCAATTAGTTGGTCGGGGCAGCGGCACCGCCGAAGGCAGCCTGGGACAGCTTGAAGAACTTGGCCGAGTCGAAGATGGACGAGGCGCGGCCCCAGACGGTGCCGGCCGGCTGGGCGGCATCCAGACCAACATGCAGGCCACGGCTGCGGTAGTAGTCGATGACCGGAACGGTCTGCTTGTGGTACTCGCCGAGGCGATGCTTGAGCGAATCAACATTGTCGTCCGAGCGGTGCATCAGGGGCTCGCCAGTGATCTGTGAACGACAGAGGGGTAGGGAGGGAGGGTGAGGAGGAGTCGGCGTGTTGGCGGAAGAGACACAAGTGACATATCACCGAAGGGGAAAGGGGATACACATGTGCGCGTGCGTGTGCATGTGCGTGTGCGTACGTCATCAAGGCCCTCGACCTTGGGCGGGGCGAACTCGACATGGTAGCTACGACCACTGGCCTTGTGGATCAGACGACCGGTGATACGGCGAACCAGCAGGCTGTCGTCGATCTTGAACTCGACGACGCGATCGAGCTTCTGGTTACGGGTCTCCAGCAGGGCGTCGAGCTGGGGGCACCAACACGACAAGAGATGGGGTACGGTCGGGAGATGGGGAGTTGGAGAGAGAGAGAGAGAGGGAGAGAGAAGAAGAAGACAGTGAGTTACCCATGCACATCGGGAGCCATGGGCTGGGAGGAGGGAGGGGGAGGGAGGGCAGGGGCAGGCGCGAGAAGCGGACCTTCTGGGCCTGGACAACGGTGCGAGGGAAGCCATCAAGAACAAAGCCACCGCTGCACTCGGGGCTATCCAGGTTCTCAGCAATCAGCTGGACAACCAGGTCGTCGGAGACAAGGCCGCCGGCGTCCATGACCGCCTGAAGGCAAGGAAGAGGAAGGGGTGGAGACGGGGGAGAGAGAGAGAGAGAGCGCGCGCGGAGAACGGAAGGGTCAGTGTCAGGGCAAGAGTCGGATTTGGCAAGCCAGAAGCATGGGGGATCCCCGCCCCCCCGCCCCTGCTACATCGACAGAAGGGGCGCACCTTGGCCTGGAGGCCGACCTCGGTGCCGGCAGAGACGGCCGCACGGAGCATGTCACCGGTGGCCAGGTGGCAGACGCAGTAGCGGTCCACCAGGCGAGGAGACTGAGTGCCCTTGCCGGAGCCCGGCGGGCCGATGACAATGGCGCGGATGCCCTCCTGAGTGGAGGCGGGGGCGGACATGCTGATCGTAGCGCGCAGGGCAAGAGACGGGCGTTAGGAGGGGGAAATGGGGGTGAGAGGGCAAAAGGGGGCAGCATGGCGCCGGCGGAGGAAGAAGAGGGCGGAGACGGGGAAACACCGGCAAGGCAGAGAGAGAGAGAGAGAGAGAAACACAGAGCCAAAGCGAGGGAGAGAGAGAGAGAGAGAGAAAGACGGGGATGGTGCGAATGGCGGAGGGCAACAAAGGCGGGACCCGTACGTGGCGGAAGGAGTGGGAGGGGGGGAGGGGGAGGGGAAGAGTTAAGACATATTGTCTAGGAGGGCGCCTACCTGGCAGATCGAGGGCGGGTTCCCAACTATGTGTGCAGACAGGCGCGACACGCGAGGCGCCAGGCACCGTGGCAGAAGCCAACAAACAAGTAGGTGGACGTACGGCGAGGCAGCATGGGAGGGGGCAGGGAGGTGCAATTCACTGCCGCCGCCCCCCCCCCCCCCTGCGGACGCCTGCAATGCCCTCCTCACTTGCACATCCGTGTGATGTGCTCTCTAGTGAACGACCAAAACGAAACTCGGGGGGACGTGGTCCTTCCCCCCCCCCCCCTCCCCCCCGACCGCCCCTTCCCCCCAGCCCCGCCTGACCCTTGCAGGAACTAGTGAATGGTGCGCATCGGCCCCCGGGTCCGGATGAAAAATCGAGCTTTGAGCGGCCCATCGGCGAGTGGTCACCCCAGCCAGCATGCCCGCCCGGAAGCAGGCTCCTTCTTGCGGGAAAAAGGGAGGGAAAGCCGGCCCCCGTTCTCCACACGACTCCGTGGAAAGAGCCGAAGGACCACACAGCAACTGCCGCTGGCTTCTTCCCCCCTCCTTGGGGGCATCCCCTCGATGTCGGGCAGAAGGGCGGCTCTCCCCTCCACCAACAGGGGGAGGAGGGAGGCCCGGCGCACGCCCATGAACGCCAGAACGACGCACCAGGCCCACCGCGCCCGGAAATGAGCGATAGCCATTAGGTTTTCTAAACCCTTTCTCCGGCCTGGGGGTTGCATTGTCTCCGCTCTCGGGAGGCCACCGAGCGAGCGCCAGCCAAGAGTGGGCGGTTGCCGCGCCCATGGCCCGGGGGACGCGCCGTGGTACGCTGTTTACTCCCGCCCCTTTTTCGCAGCGTGTCCACTGTCAGTAGCTACCCTGAACGGGCAGAAGGAGGATCAAATGGATTATTTAAATTGATCACACCCCGACATAGGTGTGATTGTACAGCTCTCTGTCTTTTTTGGCGAGACGTCGTCGACAACGTTCCCCCGTAACTTGCCCCGCGCTCTGGCGGAGATCTGCTAGCCGGGACAGATCGCCTCGAACCCTCGCCGGCGGTCAACCCCAGGATCGGCCGCCGGCCCTCGCTCTTCGCGCCTGCTTGTCCCCCGCCCCCCCCCCTGGGCCCCGGCGTCCCGCCCCCCCCCCCCTCCCCCTACAGCCAAGAGTGTTCGCCAGCTGTCCGCCCACATGGGCTACCCCTCAGGCACCTACCACTGTTGGGCTCTCCTCGACTTGGGCCTGCCTCTGTCCGTGGAGGCCAAAACATCCTCGTCCTGTCCTTCGCCCTGCTTGCGCTGCACATTGGCCAGACTCGGGGCCGCTCAAACAGACACCGCGCATGCCCAACTCATGGGGCAATCTGAACATGAAGATCCAATCAGCGAAGCTGCTCCCGACGCGGACGCAATCACAGACAC